GGAAGATATGAAAAGGTAAAATTATCATGGTTTGGAAGAATAGCAGTAAGAAAAATGAAAATTTGGCAAAGACTTTTTTTTCTGGATTATTCCAATCAAGTTTTATGGTCAAGAATTAAAGGAAATACAGAAGTTATTGGAAGTATATTGTAATGGAGGAAAGAGAGCAAGAATAAGCAAAGTACTATGGTATGAATCACAAAAGAGGGGGCTGGGTATTCCAGATATTAAAAAGTATTGGGTTGCAATTCAATTAAGGATAGTCCCGGATATTATAGCCAAAAGCAAAGAACTAATATGGAGTGATATTGAATTAAAATAATTAAGGGAAATAGATGATCACTTAGAGATATACTGGTTTAAAAAGGATATTAAAAAGATTATTAAGAGAATTCAAAATCCCTTCTTAAAAAATACGATAGAAGTATGGGGAAAATGGAGACAGCAATTAACGCCAGGAATTTCTCTGTTAACACCAGTAGTTGGAGAAATTCACAAAAATAGAATCAAAGGACTGGATTAATAAACTAAAAAATAATCAAATATATAAATGGGAAGACTGGAAAAATAAGATAAAAAATAAAATTAATTAAAGAATGTATTGGCAGAAGCCAAATTAAATTGGTTAAATTTAATTCAATTAGAAAAATGGATAAAAGTGGTGGAAAAATTTAAAGAGGAAGAAAGACAATTAACAAAATTTGAAATGATTGTGAAAGAATGTGAGTTTAAGGAAGAATATACAGGTAAAAGAAGAATTGCTAAAATTTATAAAATATTAATAGAATCAGACAAAAAGCTTAAAATCCATTTGGGAAATGGATGTAGGTGAAATAAAATATGAGGATTGGAACAAAATTTGGAATAGAAAAGTATATAAGAATATGTCAGTTAGAATTAAAGAACATGGATATAAAGTGATATGGAAATGGTATTTAATGCCAGTTGAGGTAAACCAAATTGATAATAAATATTCTAATATTTGTTGGAGAAGTGAAAAAGAGATTGGAACTTACAGACGTATGTGGTGGAATTGTGACAATATACAAAAGATACAGGCTATGGTGTTCAATGAAATTAGAGAACTTCTAGACATAAATTTAGAAGTGTCACCAAGAATTGCATTATTGCTGCAGATTGAAAATTGAGATATAAATGAAGTTAAGAAAGAATTGATTCTAAAGTTGATAATGGCATCCAGGTTAGTAATGGTTAAATATTGGAAACAGAATTGGGTTATACAAAGGAATGAAAGGTATAATTAAATATGGAATATGGTTGTTAATGATAAATTGACAGCAGAAATAAAAATCAAAAAAGAGATAATAAAAGAAATAAATATAATGAAATATGGGAAGATTTTGTAAAAGCAGTACTGATGGAAGGGAAAGGCTGTAAGCCTAATCAAGATTATATGAATTTTTGGAGTGAATATGGATATAATTAAAGTACATTATATACTCTTAATTGTTACAATATATGAAGTGAAATGGAGGTATCAACTGGTCTCCTGGGGAGCAGGTGCATGGTGTTTATTGTTAATTTTTGTTATCAGTTGGGATTTAGATGCTAACTTTATTGATATATTTTGAGGAATGTGTATTTGTATCTCAATTGTATTCATGTTCTGTTTAAAAAAATAAAATAAAAAGCGGGAGTGGGGGGAGTTTCAGGTGTTCAGAATTACCAGTCTTCATGCTACAAAGCAGACAGACAGACAGAGTTAACTTCTTTTTTTATAGATTAAATGTGTTCATTCTTTCTGACCATTTCCTGAAAATGTAAGGAAATAATCTGATTCTACTCAGTTATAAAGTCTTTCTGTATATGCTTCTTGTAGATGTTTTCCTGTATATGCTTCTTACTGAAGTTCCCTTTACAGAAAGAAAATGAAGCCAAAAGTTTTGTAACCAAACATTTAGCAGATTCTTCAAAATATATCATTATATCTGAATTTGTGTGTGTGTGTGTGTGTGTTTGAAGTATGAGAACTTCTAAAATGGCTTAATCTGATGTTGTTTGCATGCATAAATCGGTAATTATGCCAATTATGATTACTAAAAAATAAACCATGAAGTATGAAAAAGGCCACTGAAGTCACATTGCACCCCTTCAAATTTGAGATAATTACATCTTCTGGCTATTAAAGTGCTGGGCCTCAACCCTCTGCGGAAACACCAGAACCTCATCTAGAAATCCTTTTGCTTAAAAGCCTAATTCATGGATTTGATATAGTTATTCAAGTAGTGAGGAAAAGGCACTCTGCATCTGCTAAGGGGCATTTCCATGTATTCTTACACTGAAACTCATTGTCTGGAATGATCCTGTAAAGCCAGAACATAATAGAAGCCCTGGTTCTAAATTAACAAAACAAGCCATGACAGAGTCAAAACACTGAATTCACAGTTCAAGTGTAGACACTGAGCAGAAGTAAGCCAGGTCATCACAGGTAAGGAAAACTTTCCCACAACAAGCTTTTATTATTCCAGAGTTGAGCTTCATGCCACTCTCAGGGCTTAGCAGGTATTAATAACCCTCTTCCAGCTCAGATCGGCCAATGACCTTCTGGAGAAGGAAGTTGGTTTCCTGTCCATTTTGTGTGCGTTTGTTCTTTTTATATACCTGCTCAGCTGGTTTTTTGGTGCTGGTACTTTTGCCTATGGTACCTGATGAGCTATCTGGACTTCATAAGCTGGGATCAGCAATTAAAAACGCAAGGGGTAAATCCACCTCATGAGAAGTAGCAGATGACCCAGCAGCTGTGGAGCAGCAGTGAGCATCCCTGGGGTGCATGAAGGAACAGTGGCTGCGGCTTTGCAACTTGCTGGCTGTCCATTTGAGGAAACAAAATGCTGCGGGTCCAATCACACACACACACACACCTGCATACAGTCTGCCTAAAGCAGCACTCTTCTGAAAGTAGCTGCTGACAAAGGTACGTGTGTAATTTTGTTATACAGTGTGAATAAGGGGCAATGTTGCCTAGAAAACCACTGCACACATTACATGGCAACAAACTTGCATTAGCAGCATGTATATTTCCAGTGTACCTGTATGATCCACATACTTCCAAAAGCATGGGTCTTGTTCACACATCCTATTTTACCACTAAGAATTAGTAAATGGCTCAGAGTGAGAAAGATAAAATCTGGTCTATGCATTATGCCTCAAAGCAATTAGCCAAGCTCTGCAGCTTTGTAACATTTTAGCAGGTCCAATACTAGTATTTTGAGCAGCTTATTATAATTTTAATGGGAAGAGGGTTCTAATGGACAAACATAGTTACCAATAATGTGTGTGTTATATATTGATTGTTTTTAAAAGAGGGATATTCTTATAGCCCTCTACTTTGTGACAAGACAATTCCATATTTGTCTAATTATCCCCAAGCCTTTAGGTGAAACAAATATTTCACACTGCAACAAATTGATAGTAGGGGCAGGGAACGATAAGGTGTGGGGGTGGAAACCTAAGGCATGGGCAAAGTCTAGTTTCACAAGAAACATTAGCTTGTTCTTGGAACAGATGTTTATTCTCACAAGGAAAGGGGGGAAGGGGAAAGAGTTGTAAGGAAATTCCTGCTCTCACCAGATGACCCACAATTTTTAACACCAAACCATTTTTGCTTACTTGCATTGGGGCTTGCTTTTGTTAGTGCCCACTTTCTACAAAATGAAATGTCTTTATCATCGAAACCAAAGTTACCATAGTAATATTCAGCTTGCCAATTAAGAAAACATATATACACGCAAACTACACAGAAATAATTATGAAAACAATTGTGCAAGTGTCATACTGAAAATAACTTGTTTTAAAACAAAATAAGATATATGATGTTGTAGCTCAGATGTAGTTCTGCAACCAGACAGGCAGAACTTGATTTCAAGCTCCATCTCTTAGGGCCATTCAAAGCAAGGCATATTAACATGTGAAAATAACATGAATGCAACAAACATCATACATGTATCGTACATGTACACTTACAAGTTAGCTGTAATGAGTTTCAGCTCTCAGCTTGCTTTTGAGCATTCACGCACTGGCAAATCTAAGTTTCTCTATGATGTTTGCGATGGCCCATAATAGGCAGCTTTAGGAAAGTCACAATAGCTTCTGCTATTAATTCCCCTTCACAAATTCCTGGGACTGATACAGAGTTAAATAAGATAAGCATAATAAAGCACACTTGGCAGTTAAAAATGTACACAATCATGAGTGTCATGCCAGGAACTACATTCAAAAGCTCTAGAGAGCCTAAGCACATTTCCAGATGAGGTTTTTATGGCACCATCACTCCAAATTTAATGGAATTCTATGAAGGGCTATCCAGATGTCTTCAACACATAGCCCTCCTGTGTTTTCCCACAACTTCTTCCATCTTTTTCTTGGCACAGAAAATCCATTAAGAAATTATGGAATAGATGCACAATGCTGTCTCATTGGTAGGGTGACAATCCCGCCATCTCAAAGCCCTCGCATCCCTGGAAGCCATCTACAAAATCCCGCTTTGTGCTTTTACACTAAGCACAACCACAAGCATCACGTCCCTTGGGAATGGGGGCATGGCCTTCTTGAAATACTGTCATTACATGAATTCAAGTGAGAAGCCAGACAGGACTGTAGAACCTTTATCTGAAACCATCATCCTCATCACTCTTGCTATCCTCTAGGCCTGTCATCAATCCTTTCTCTAATCAGCTCAGTGGAACTGCCTCATTTCTTTATCCAAGATCGATGTGACCAGAGAGGAATGCCAAGGAATCTATAGGAGTACTTTGGCAAACTCTTGCTTTTCTTCACTAGAGAAATTCATGCTATTGCTCAGCCATGCCATTCTACTGTAAAGAAAATTTTTTTAAAAAATAGTAAAGCAAACGCATCTTTAGCATAAAACACACCAACAAAGTAAAATCTTGCAAATGATTATTTATACAATCCCTTCAACACGGAGAGTGTGGTGGGCAACACAAGAACCCCAGAGGGGTGCAACATCCTGCACTTACCCCAAAGCACAAAGAGGAAAAGTTGCACCAGCCAACAAGCATGAATCTCCATGCTGAATCTTTCGGGAGCAGGAAGCAGCGCAGCCCGGAGTTTCTTGGGGAGCAGCAGCGCACATGGGGTGTGGGGGAGGACAGAGCTCCTGGGGTGAGAACCCCAACCCTTTCCGAGATCTTGTCTCCACCGTCCTGCTCTCCAGCAGGGGATCTGTGCTTCATTCCAGGGCGCCAAGTCCTGAAGAGGAACTTGGGGTAGGAGGGGGGGCTCTCCTGCTTGCACAAAATCCCACCCTTCTGCTGCTGCTGCTGCTGCTGCTGCTGCTTGGCGCTCCTCCCTACGCAGAGAGACAAACAGCAGCAGCAGCAGCGCCAAGAGTCAGCTCGGCATGCCATTTCCTCCCCTGTGCCTCTCCTTCCCCCACCCCCGCCAGCTCGCTTCGCCTTGAGGAGGATGAGGATGTTGCGGCTATTCCAGGATCCTCTGAGGGAAGGGACAGAGGCGCAGCTGGGAGCGGCCGAGCGGGGGGCGGGGTGGGCAGCCGGGGGAGAAGGTCCTGCTCACGGCGCTGGGCAGGAGGAGCCGGGCCAGTTCCGCGTCTTCTCCTCCAGGGGTCCCAAGGCCGCGGTCCTGGCGGGCCAGCGCGGGGAGCTTTTCCGCCCGAACTGTCCGGTTCGGGGCCAGTCCCCTGGTCAAGGGCGGCCAAACCTTTGCTCAGGGATGCTGCAGAGGGAGTGCGCGCGTGTGTGCTAAAGAGGTGTAGTTAGAGGCCGGCTCGTCGCCGGCGGGAAAGCGGGGGCCAGAGCAGTTCTTTGCATCCTCCGAAGGCAGCTCTCCCGGTAACTTCTCCCCGCGCAGGTGTGGGAGAAAGTTCTGCCAGCGCGGCTTGGCTGAGCCGGGCGAGGACAAGGGTCTTCTGCCAACAGCGTGATTGATCGCAGAAAGGGGTCCCTTTCAGCCCTCGTTTGTGTGAACGAGCCGGCAGCACGGAGCCAACGCGTAAAACTTGCAGCAACAAGGGGCAGTTCAGACGTACCGCGGCAGCATCCGCGGCGACGCGAGCAGAGTAGCAAGGAACGTTTGTGATTAGTTTCATTCCCTCCCCACGCGCACCTGTGTTTTATCATTGGTGTTATCGTTGGTATAGCTTTTGCTTTTAATCCTGTAAGTTGCCCTGGGAAGTTTAGCTACAGAACAACTCCCAAAGTGAATGAATGAATTTGACAAATTTAAACCTTTTTGTCATCTACATAACCACTCACATCCCGAGAAGGACAATATTCTGCTGTTGTTGTCCTTTCAAAAACAACTGCAATCGAGTGACTAATATGGAATTCGCACGTTCATCAGATGCCCATTTCCTGGAGTCTGGAGAGCTGCAGTTTCAAGGATCCAAAGGTCTACTCAGATTTCAGCAGAAGGCTTGCACTAGCCTACTGGATTTTTTGAATGCCTTTGAACTGCCCACCTCTGTACCTTTTCAGGAAACTGTTTCTGAAATTTCCCCATATTAAAATAATGTAAGCACTGACCCAGGGAAATATCAAGATTAACCAGACGCAAAAGGGGAATGATACCACTCACTCTTACTCTACAAGTGCTCTGGAATCACTATAAGCGTGCCTTAATTCCGTTACTTTGCCCACCATTCCACATCCCTTCAGCAAGGGGGTGTCCACTGCTCCTGTTCCAGGTGGAAATGGGATCCAGATTTCCTCCAGTAAACCCAAGGTAAAACTTCAATTATAGAACTGGCAGGCAGATCCTGGAAGCTTCTGACTTAAATAAATTAAATTATGGGTGGAATTTGCATCAGATGATTCTAAATTCGGGGATTCTAAATTGAACCATAAATGTTCCTGAATTGTTAAGATACTGTAATCCTATTTCTGATATATAATTTGGTGTGTGTTGGATGATGAGGGAGGCAGGTAGAGTGTGGGTTTATATGACTACTCTTAATTTTTAGGTGCACAATGATGCACAACAGATGAGTCCATGGGCTTAAAAGCAATGCAATCTTTAATACATTTTCCCTTAAGAAAAAGGGAAGGACAGGGGCAGGTGAATTACTGACTTCTTTGAAGCAATGCCCATAGCAATATAAATGAACTTTTTGGGACTATGAAAGCAGATGTACCATTTCCTTCCCTAAAGAAAGAACTAGGAAGTCATGATAAAAGACAACAGCAGGGCAAGAAGGGATAGGTCTTCACTCCATAGCAACAGAATCAGTCAGTAACTAGGGGTGGAACAACACAACAACAAGATACTGAAAAGCCTGGTAGTTTCTACAGCTCAATCAACCCACACTTCACCACACTGTCAAGACGCAGGCAGCCTCTTCCACGCTGATCATGTGGTATATTGGTGCTCTTCATTCACGCTGTAATGAAATCCACTATTAGCTTGATATTCAGGGGGGGGAAAGATGAGGTGGGTTGTGTATGAGGGACCTGGATCATGTTATTTTAATACCTGGGCATTTTTGTGTCCTATACCATTTTTATTCTAAAGCCTAACTGTACTGCTGTTGGACGAAGGGCCAACTAAGGATAATTCTTCACCTCCGAGGCTCTTTTCTTGAGATCCTGGGTAAGAAGTACAATTGCTACACGGAGTACTTCATTGTGAGGGGAGCCACTACTAGCAAGAGTGCCTGTTATTAAATGGCCATCCATTGTTTACCCAGGTGGGTGTAGCATTTGCCCTGTTTTTCACCTGGCTTCCCTGGGATATATGTAATTGACAGCAGGCTAAAAGAGAGGAGCACATCAATGTGGAGGCGATTCAGGCAAAGGAGGGAGGCCATATTTACAGAATGGTTATACTACAGAACAAGGGTCCTCAAACTTTTTAAACAGGGGGCCAGTTCACTGTCCCTCAGGCTGTTGGGCTGGACTATAGTTTGAAAAAAAAAAATGAACGAATTCCTATGCACAATGCACATTAAAAATTAATTTAAATTAAAATAAATTTAAAAAATACTTAAAATTTTAAAAATTAATTTAAAATGTTCGCTCTGCTCCCCGGGGCTACAGCAGAAGCCCAAGATGAGGTGGGAAAGAGTATTTTGCATAATGCAGCTGATGACTACAATTGGCATTTACAAAGAATGAAGCAAAAATACTAAGAATAAATACTGTTAATGCTACTCTTAGTATTTGAAACAAGTCAGCCAGAACAATTCCCACAATACACAATGGCTATATTTGGATGCAGGGCTAATGACTACCATATTTTAAGTGCAACCTTGCCAAAACTGGTACTGTCCAGATGATGAGTTGGACTACAACTTCCATTGGCCATGCTCGTTGGGCATGATGGAAATTATAGTCCTCACCCCCCGCCACGGTTCCGAGGGAGCCAGAACAGGAGTGGGAGGCTGGAGAGGCGAGCATGGGGCAGCTCCCCTGGCCCGGAGAGGGCAGCAAGGAGGGAGGTAAGGGCTTCTTTCCGAGGCAAGGGTAGGCGAGGGACAGGGCCGCAGCTGGCCGAGCAGGGTGCCTCCTGCCTCTCCCCTCCGCGGAGGGAAGAAGCATGCCGGCTGCTCGATGGTGGTGGCAGCTTGCCCATAGAAGGCCACAGTTCCTGCATCTCCGCCACGGCCTTCTCAGGACAAGCCACCCCTGCCGTCGAGCAGCTGCCCCTGGGCTTGGCGAGGTAGCCGTGGCTTGGCCCGCAGCCCGGGGACGTGGCTCACATAATTAAAAATAGATTTTAAAAGTTATATTTTTCTTACCTTCAATACATTTTTAGTGTCTTCGTCTCTCTCTCTTCCTCCCTGCTCTCTTCTGTTTCCCCGCACCGTGTTCCCGCTCTGTATGTGCGTGGAGGGGGAAGAGAGGAGCACACGCAGTTGAAGGGAGCTGTTACAATTTGGTGTGTGCACTGGCTCTTTGCTCAGTTTCAGAGAATGCCTGCACTGGCTCAGAGCTTTCGGATTCACTCGGAGATCGTTTTCTCCAAGCAAGTCCAAAAGCTCTGAGGTGGGCTGGGTAAATGCCCACGGCTGGCTGTATCTGGCCCGCATGCCATAGTTTGAGGACCATGGTATAGGAGGAGGAAAAGGAGCCAGGCCCTTGTAGGCTATTCTCCTTTCTGAGCATCCAGCAAGCCAAGAAGCTTTGAGTGCAATCTCACCTTCCCAAAACAGTGAGAAAAGAAAGCCTACTCTTAAAAAGAATTCTTAAATTATCCATCAGACAATTCAGTCCTACAGTGGCTAACTTTCACCTGAGCGCTGCAATTTGCATGCATTCTTGTGGGTTCCCACCAAATAAATAGCAGCACAAACAACAGTGCTTGTCACGATCACAAAGATGGACTGTTGTTATCATTCGCTAAATATGCTGCCGTAGATGGTGGTTGTCCTCTCCCATGTATTTGGAGGCACTCCGCGGAGTAATATTCTTGCTGTCCCCCTACCAGCTTCTTGTCAAAGCATTAGTCACATATAAGGTGTTTTAAAACCATTGCAAGCGCACTTGCACGGGTTTAGGAAGTCCTAAGGATAAACACAGAAGGCTGAAATCATGTGTGCCGCACTGTGTGCTCTCAAAGAAAGGGCAGTTATAGATTTTGATTTAGGCACCATATATGTACATGAATGATGTCTCAACCAGCAACGTCGCAGAGTAAAGGGCGCAAAACTGCTACTGCATCGACCTAGAATTAGCTCTTTCCTTTGGTTGCTGTGGGAAGTCAGACCTGATCAGCACTTTTCTCCATGTTCTGGCTGACCTGACCAGAAATGTTGTATTGGCAGTCCTGCCTTTGCTTGGAATGCAAGGATGATCTGGACTCTTGATATAATCACTTCCAAGTGTCCTTGACCCTGCTGAAGAGCAGTCTGCTCCAGGAATATTGGATGTTGTATTCGGTTAACTATTACTTCGCATTTTTAGAAGCTTGTCCTGGATGAGACCCAGTGGGGAAGGCAGTAGAAAGGCACTGCAGTTGATGCTCAGAATGGAATGGGAGATGATTAATCACTTTCTTAGTTGGAACACTTGCTTAGAACACTTTCTTTGGAAATATTGGGCCTTCTTTCTTATGGAGGAAGATGCAGACCAATATCTGGCGAACTGGTGAAATGGCAGGATTGGCAATTAAAGTGCAAATGGCAGAAGATGAATATGCACAGAGGGAAAAATCTTTGATCTTCTTTTGAGGCCGAATCATACTCAAGACCTCACATGTCCTACAGCCAGAGAATCTTTGATATGTCACTCTGGTTAATTTTATTTCTGATTCTTGATTAGTTTTATTTGGCATGCTCAGAGTTGTATTTATTGTTGTAGCTATTTTTGATGGTTTTAGTTATGATTGCCTTCACTGAGAGCATCCACCAATTTGACACTATATAAATTCAATAAATAAATAAATAG